GGCTGCGCTTGAGGGAGTGTCCATCACAGCATAATCAGTAATCTCCATGTGAACACTATTGTTGGCATTGCCTCCCAACTTATAAAGTAACATGAAAGGACAAGTACTCACACTACCCAAGTAAACACATTTGTATACACAAGCTCTTTATCTTAATAAACCTTATAGTACATTTTGTTTGCTTGTTTAAGTTTAAGAATACATTTAATTGTTTTTGAATATGGGGAAAACGAAAATAAAATGCAAAGTATGTCTGATGTAGAAACGTTTTCTGTTGTAACTGTTGCATACCTAATGCTGGAATTTTGAATATATTCAACAGTTGCCTGTAACTAAATCAAACAAAGTTATGATAGAAATGATTGAATAAACTGTTGCCTATAAATGGTAGTCTTTGCTTCTCTTTACTAGCTATACTTTTGTGTACTTTTGTTAGCAGACAAAAGTGGAATTTCTTTTTCTGTTTATTTTTAGTGCTTAATAGAATGATTATAACCCTTCAGTTCCTGGTTGTAACCATTCCCTGCTTTGTCCGTAATTTTTAAAAAAATTGTGTGATTTGGGGAGAAGATTGGCAGTTTTACAAAATAGCAAAGGGGGGGTAAAAAGAGGGAGAGCTTTCACCCAGGCTGCTCATAGCCATTTAGCACTCCAGTGTGCACGTGTTCATAGGTCAGCACGTAACTTAAAAAGTCTTTCTTAGGACTACTGTCTGAGTTCAGCAACTATTTTTATTGATAACTATTTGGCAATCGCCTCCTTTTGCTTTATCGTTTTGCATCATTTGAGAACAGCAGTTTCTTTTTGCTGTTGACCCATCCAGCCCCTAAAGGAGTCACAATTACCTCCCATTTACTTTAACCCCTTTGCTGCCAGAGCGTTTTTTGCACACATGATATAGGCTGTATTAAGAGTAAGAAGGACAAAGGTCTATCAATAAAATACAGAACAGAACCTAAGCCAGAGCCTATCAGCCAGTTTGGCATTGTCAATTGCCAGTTTGGCAATGACCCAAACCAAGTTGCACAGTCTCCCAGTCAAAGGCCGCTCTGCTAAATTTAACAGCCCTTCTATGACACCCTTCAGAGGTTCATCTGGAATACCTCCTTTTGGAGGAGCATCCTCTCATAGTTGGAACTGGATGGACCTTTTGTCTTTATTCACCCTCACCTACTATGTTACTATAATCCACATTTTAGGCCTGAAAATTACTTAAACTCCCCTGAAAGCACAGACCCACCCTGAATAATAATAAATGGTGGCAGTTATAAATGTTTACGTTGCATGATGTTTGCCCAACTCTTTATCAAATCCAAAATGTCAAAAAAATACACAAGTTCATTTTAGTGCCCAAAAATACAATATAATACATTTGTTTTGTAAAATATAGAAGACGAGGTTGTGCCAAGCAAATGGATACATAATATGCCAAGCTTAAAAATTGCGTGTTCGGTTACATTACCTTAAATTGCCATAGGCCCACAAGCTTTAAAAGCGTATGCAGGTCATCAGTTTATAGTTATCCATGAATATTGGCCCTAGTATTATTGCTCTCGCCCTAGCGCATGTGGCAATGCTTACCTGTGAATCGCATCTGTCATTGTCGTACCTTGGCGCACCTGACACATATTTACATTGGAATGTACAGGGGGCATGGGGACTTTTTTTGGGTATTTTCAAATGTATTTTATTTAACATTATTTTTGCTATCACATGGGGTGGGGGGGGCTCACAAGCTCCCTATATGATAGCATATTAGTGGTCATATCTTCTCTTTAATGACCCCTAAAGTCACCTTTCCACTTCAAAAAACTGTGCTTTAACAGCTTTTTCCCTGGTTTTTGTAGCCAGAGAATGCCAGCTGATTGCTTCACTCCCAGCTTCATTCAGCATGGAGGATATCGGTGCATGGGCATTTACTGGTCCCTCTCCCAGCTTTCCACCCACGATGCCGGTTCCAGGTCCGCAGAGCCTGGGAAGCAGGGCTGAGGGGGTGGGGCTGAGCAGTTTACCAGCCCATGGAATTGATCTGGCGGCCAGAATATCTTCCAGTGTAAAGCCGACACTGTTTACAGGAGCCTGCAGCCAGTGCCCTAAGGCACAAGGAGCCAGTCAGTTGTGCTACACTCCATGGAGCATGACAATGGAAGGAGAGAGCAAAGTGACAGAAATGAGCGCATCAGCCTGCTGCTTCATTTTTCACTGGCTGGAGAGGGACAAGACCTATAAGTGTTACTTAACTAAAGCAAGTAAAAAACAAGTCTCCTGCCCTGCCAAACAGGGCTGTGCTGTGTGATATAGCTGTTTACACCTTGGGACTGGATGGGCAGAAATAAAAAAAATCATTTGACAGGTAAAACTCCTCTCATATGTATTTAAATATTGAACTGATACCTAGCAAGGGCATTTTAAAGAACCCCTTGCTTGTTAGCCGATTTGGAAAAATCTCCGATTTAGCTCACTTTCCAGTTCAGCTATGTTGTCCTAGATTGGCCACTTCTCCTGCCTTCTCCAAACTCTTCACCCTTTTGTGAATAACCCCCCAAGTGTTTTAATGAGTAAAGTTGCAGAGTCTGCATCCTTTTCGATACTATACTCCAATAGCAGGGTGTGCCTAAAATTTGATTTACATCTTAGTGTAGACTGAGGAAAGCAGTGAACCAATCACACAAGCAGGAAATGACATTTC